ATCTACTGAAAGTCAGGATAAACATGTTTGCTATTTGAATAGGACACAGTTGCCCTTGTTGAGAAGGTGGCATGAGGTTGTTTGTCCTGGGCTAGGTACCCGTAGATCAGGTGAGGACAGTGTGCAGTTGTTACGCAGCTGCTGGAACAGAGGTTGCTGTGGTTTCTCCTGCAGATGTACAACTTCACCAGCTTCACTGTGAGCCTCAATGAATTGGAGTCAGGCATGGAGAAGACCCTGCCACCCACAGACTGCCGCCTCCGCCCTGACATCCGTGGCATGGAGAATGGCAACATGGGTAACTGCGGGGCTCTCCCCAGGGCTTGTGTGGGTGAGCTAAGGTCTCCTCTATGAGGAGGGTACGAAGACCCTTCATCCAGACTCACAAATAGTGCTGTCCTCCAAGGACAGTGCTGCACAAAGCAGTGAGAGGTGCTGAACAGTTTTAACTTCCAGCTTGCCACAGACCAGTCCTTTGCAAAATGCTAAAATTGGTTTATTTATTTATTATTTTCTGAGATAGGATTTCTCTATGTAGCTTTGTAGACCAGGCTGGCCTGGAACTTACAGAGATCCGCCTGCCTCTGCCTCCTGAGTGCTGGGATTAAAGGTGTGTGCCATCAACGCCCGGCTGTAAAATGTTAAAATTAAATTGAAAATGAGTTAGCCAAGTGTGTGAAACAGGCCTGTTATATTCCAGTACCTGGGAGGTTGAGACAAGAGGATTAAAATAAGCTCCAGGCCAGACTGAGCTACCTAGTAAAATCTTGTCTCCAAACAGCAACAACAGAAAAGAAAATGAGTGAAAAAAATGAACAAAATACAAACCCCAAGACTTCATTATTTATATAGTTCAGTGGGTTAAAGTTGCATTTCAGAAGCTGATGTAGCTCAGGGGTAGAGTGCTCAGAGCCACTGCCCTGGTGCATCTCATCTGCCCAAGACTACACAGTCACACTCCAGATAAGCACTGTGCATCGGTTTTCAGTGTGACAGCTTGCTGCTTGCCTACAAGGCAAGCTGATCCTAGACTACATTGCAGTAGCAATAAGTACAGAAGAGATCACCCCATGAAGGCATGCCTGGGCCCGGGAGAGAGGCCTGAGTCTCTAGAGGGCCGCTTTCCATCCTGGTCCATGCTGGGCAGGTGGTACTCCTCCCTCAAAACTCACCCTTTGCCCTTCGTCAGAAGCCACAGTTTACCCTGCCAGGTGAGGGTTCAATAGATGTCTTTTGATAGCGAATAGCTTTGGGGTTCTGTGAGCTCACTGTTCCAGATACTTGGTTTCCCAGTTGTACTCAAGTGCCATAAAGTCCCCAGCTTAGCACGGACTACGCTTGGAGTGATGCTATCTGTGTGGTCTGGTGTGACGCCTCCCACTCTGCGTGTCCTGGGGAAGTGCCCCTCATACATGAGGCAGGGACAACTCAGCCTTAACAACTTTCACTTGACACACTGAGCCAGAGTTCACTTCCCACAGTTTCTAATCAAAATGGGATTGGTCCTTTAGGGGTCAAGATGGAGGTCTGACATCTCTGACATAACTGGGAACTTTAAGTGTTTGCTTATTTGCTTGGATCTAGATCTGGCCAGCCAGGAGAAAGAGCGACTAGAGGAAAAGCAGAGAGAGGCCAGAAAGGAACGTGCCAAAGAGGAAGCAGAGTGGCGGACCAGGTGAGTTTGAGCAGTGAGGCCTTACAGACCTGGGTAGTGAGGAAGGAAGCACACCCACATCATCTTACCCCTCTTTCTTGCCCAGCTCCTGTGGCTAAGTAGCAGCAGTGTGTGGGTCCATAAAGACAGTTGTCTCACCACTGCTCTCAGGGTGCTTATGACTGATTCCCTGCTTAGCATATAGCTTGCTTAAAACCACTGGGAGTTGGCTGTCGTGAGACAGGTCCCTCACTCCCAGGCCTTGCTGTCCTGCTCCACAGCATACTTGATCTAAAATGGTTTTCTCAAAATTAATCAGTCTAAAGACAAAATATAGCCTGAACTTTGATGTAGTCCCCACTTTTGTATCTTGTGGTAAGGTAATGCAGACACACACGTACACGTGCCTGCGGCACACACACACGCACCCCGCCTTCCCCGCCTCATGCAGTGTGTTCCAGGCTGAAGTGTGGGTCCTGTTGCCAGCCTGCTGTGGCATCAGGAAAACCTCTGTTGTGAGTGTGAAGGTGCAGCCCTAAGGTGGGCCCCCTGCCAATATGGGGGGCATGCAGAGGGTGTTGTGACTAATGGGCCTACACCAGCTGCCAGGAGCCTTAGCCCTACTTCTGACTCAGATTTCATACATTGGTTGTATTTTTTTCTTCAGTAGTCAAAGAACTACAATAATTAACCATAAGCAAGACACGTACCTGTATAAGTGCACACAGTTCTTAGTCTTTTGTAAAGATCTTTGGATGTTTGGATGTTTCTTGTCAGGCTTGTTATTTTTATCGTTGCTTTTTATTTTAAGATGGGTTTTACTATTGTTCAGTCTTGAACTCAAGCAGCTCCCAATCTCAGGCTCCAGAGTAGCTGGACCTGGATAGCTGACAGAACAAGTGTGTGTCACTGCCTGCTAGGTTCCATCCTTTGTGGTATTTATATCTAGGTCATACTCACAGCCATCTCTAATGGCAGGGGTGGGGGTTTGGAACCAGTTTTCCTTCTGTCTTTTCTTCCATCCCTTCTCTCCTTTGATGAAGATGAACCCAGAGCTTTATGTGTGAGGCAGACCCTCTACCACTGCACCACTGTCCAGCCTCTGTGAGCCAGTTACTGATGCCTGGGCCTCTGATTTAATCCTGTGCCTTTAATGTCCATAGTCTTGGTATTTGTCTTTGTTCTAGAGAAAAACTGTTGAAAGTAATCTTCCTCCACTGGCCTTTTAAAGCACTGAAAAACATAAGCCAGGTATAGTGGCTTGCATCTCTAATTCTAACATTGTGGAAACTGAGACAGTCGAACCTTGAGTTTGAGGCCAGCCTGAGCTACATAATAAGACACTGTCTCAAGAAGTAAGATAATTTAAACCAGGCAATTGTGGTGCTTTCTTTTAATCCCAGCACTTGAGAGGCAGAGACAGGTGGATCTCTGTGAATCTGAAGCCAGCCTGGTCTACAGAGCAAGTTCCAGGACAGCCAGGGCTACACAGAGAAACCCTGTCTTGAAAAAACAAAAGCAAGCAAACAAAATAATAATAATAATAATCCATTGTGAAAATGACATGTTTTTCCATAGATGATAATTTATTTATTTATTTATTTTACAGTTATCTGCATGCACACTTGCACACCAGAAGAGGGCACCAGATCTCATAACAGATGGTTGTGAGCCATCATGTGGTTGCTGGGAATTGAACTCAGGTCCTCTAGAAGAGCAGACATTGCTCTTAACCTCTGAGCCATCTCTCCAGCCCTACTTCTGCTTTTTTTCCCTTTATGGTACTAAGGATGAAATTCAGGGCTTTGCATGTGGCAGGCAAATTGTTTGACCACTAGGCTGTAACCCAGCCTATCACTTCTGGTGTACTCCTGCCGACAGTGTTTGCTTCTGTTTGGTGGAGTGTAGCTGCAGGGGTGCAGGCTGAACCTGGTGAGGTTCAACTGCATGGGCACCCTCTCCATGCACATATGAGACCAGCCTCTGAAAGTAGCCCTGTGGAGAACTGGGTGTTGTTGAGAAGTAGACGGTGATTCGGTACATGTGTGGATGAGCACAGCCGCATGGAGGCTGGTCAGTTACTGTTGTGGCAGCATTGCCTCAGGCTGCATCTCCAGTAGCACATCCTGATGTGAGAAGACTGACTGACACCCTGCCGTCTGCTGACCGCCATCCTTGTGTTCTGCAGGTGGTTCTATCCAGGCACTAACCCCTACACAGGGGCTCCCGACTGGTTGTATGCAGGGGATTACTTTGAGCGCAACTTCTCAGACTGCCCAGACATCTACTAAGTGAGGCCTGGAAGCCCAGGAGGAGGCCTGTGAGGTTGGACTCTGTGAGTGGTACTCTGAGCTTCATGGTGGCAGACACCAGCTCCTCCAGCCACAGTTCGTGGAGATGACCTCGGACCTGTTGGAGGACTTCGGTTAGCCTCTGCCCAGCTCTTCACTATGCCACAGCCCTTCATGAAGCTCCACTTGGGTCTTCACGTTCACTGAGGCCTCAGGAGAGCTCCCCAGTTCTTTTCACACGTGACAGAAGTGCACAAGGCCAGCTGAGCTGGCAGCACACTCCGTTACAAAATGTGTAATCGAGGAAGAACCAGTAGAGCCTGTGTGCTCCTCTAAAGGCTGTGATGTGGGTTTCTGGAAGAGTTTCAAGCCCAGACCCAAAGGAGGAGGGGAGCATGGGTCTTGAAAGTAGCCTGTAGGCCAGAGTCCACTTCATTGTGGAGGGCACCCACGGAATGAAGTGACAAGTTGCCAGACTCTTCTACCAATCTGAATAAGGCAAAGATTACTTTAGAAAATATTTAAATTGAAACTACTTGAATGTAGCAAACACATTAATCACCACTGTGTACTGTCCAAAAAATGTCCCTGTGACAAGCCAGAGTGGCAGGAACACTGTGACTTGGATGAGAAACCCCCCAGGGCTGTTCCCGGCCTCCCAGGAGGCCCTGCCTCTGGCCTCAGCACTCCCACAGCCTCACTGTCACTGTGGACCTCTCCTGTCTCTGAGGGGTCATTTCTTCACTCACCTCACCTGTGTGTTCCTTCCCCCTCTCCTGCAGTCTTGTGTTTGGTTTCCCCAGCATGCATGTTCTAGTCCAGGCAAATCCCATCTGGTTGTGTGCATTGGGAGGTCAGAAGCAGCATCTACTCATGTGGTGTCATTAAAATGGTTTAAACACAAGCAGGTGTGTCCATCTCTGCATTCCTGTCAAGTGATGGACTTTATGTAGAAATGGTGGCACCAAGGATCACAGTGGAGCTCTTTGCATCAAAGACAATCTACTGTGTGTACATACCTGTGCTCTGGCACATATGCACACCTGTGTATGCATATCGAGTGTGAGTCACTACATCAGGCCCTTCTGAATAAGAAGGAATTCTTCCTGTGTCCAGGCTTCTGAATGAGAAGGAATTCTTCCTGTGTCCAGGCTTCTGAATGAGAAGGAATTTTTCCTGTGTCCAGGCTCCTGAATGAGAAGGAATTCTTTCTGTGTCCAGGCTCCTGAACCACCTCTGTCATTAAAACACTTTGAAACGCCAACACGAGTTGAAGGCTTGATTTTATAGCTTTGGAAACTGAAAACAGGTGTTTCTGTGGCAGCCAGGGCCAGCATCTCTGCTCTATCTACTGAGACCCCTTAGCAAAGCCTCTGATGGCTCTGAGATGTATCTGAATGTTTGCGGCTTTGCCATCATTCTAAGAAGAGATGGTGAAGTGTCAGAACGGCACCCTATGTGTCTCTGAGGGGGGTCATTTGCCTTTCTGGACCATGGCTATGTACACATACACACAAGGGAGAGAGAGTCAGGGAGGAGAGAGACAGAGCGCTCTAGAAAGGTGGAAAGCTGAGAATGTTGACTAATGGAATAACAAGTCCTCCATGTGCTCTCCCTCCCCATGCACACAGCCCCCACTCATATCTAGATCCATATTGTGTTCGTGTGCCTAAACTAGAAATATAAGGGGAAAGGGGAAAAGGCTGCTAGAAAGGACAGCTGTGTGCCAGGGAATGTAACTGATAAGTTTATCATTGCAGCCTCTGTCTGCATCAACACATGAGGACATTGCCACTCCCAAAATGTCAGGAGCACCAAAACTGCATGTCTTCATTGGCACACCCCTCCCTCTGGGCAGCTCTTGAGCACTTCTGTCATGAGCTTTTCCATGGAAGGTACACAGGGAAAGATGACCTCCTATGCACAGTTGCTCGCGTGTGAGCACAAACTTGCGTGGGACCTAGGTGCTTACAGAGTGGGCCTGTCACTTCAGATGTCCTCATGGGAAGAAAAGGGCAACAGGCTTTTCCAAACGTAATACTCTGAAATCAAGCACAGTAGTATCCCAGCATTTGGGGTATAGAGGCAGGATGATCCTTAATTTAATGTCATCCTTGGCTACAAAATGAGCTGACTAGCCTAGGGTATATGAGATCATGTCTCAGAAAACAAAATAGAACTTAGAGCTGCCAGTAGCAAGACCTCATCTCAAACAGCTCCCCTTATTTTTTACTCAGATTGAAGTTAGAACTGAGTCACGTTTCCGTAAGTCCAAGGGACCATTCCCCTGACCTATCAGAGATTTAAAGTGCGAAGACATGCGGAGTGTTTTATGTGAATGGTAACTTCTTAAATGATTTAAGTTACTGGCTCTACCTCATTACTCTAGTGGTTCTCTGAAGCTGCTTCACTAGCCCTGGCTGGGAGGAGCGGGCCTGGCCTCGATGAACATCAGTCAGTATGTGCTCTGAGGAGGAAAGAGCGCACCCATGTATATACGCACCATGTTACATGTGCATAAATGTGCTTTCGTGGCCGTGTCGGGAAGCAGAAAACCAATTAGCATTAACCAGTTAGCATTCCAGGAGAACAGGCTCTCCCCCAGGCTTACAGTGACCACTCGTGTCTGTCAAAGGGTCAATGTCACATTCTAGAGCCTGGTACACAGCATGCCTAGGAGGACCCTACATGTGCTGGAGGGTGTCACAGCCCATTGGGGCGTTAGTCCTTGTTGAACAAGCTGCCTGGGGAGGCAATAGACTCAAGTAGAGGATATGCCCTCTACTTCCTAGGCCCTTGTGTTCAAGCCTAGAAAATCAGAAGAAACGCTTGGGAGCCTCTTCTCTCCGTCAGTGAGCCAGCTCCTGCCAGGGTCTGGAAAGTTCTCCCTCCAGAAAGGGAGTAACAAACTTTATGCCTCCTTACCATCTCCACAGAATAAAGGGTGGAGACACCTCTAAAGTTCTAACGTGAGCTAGACCTGGGAGTAGGCCTGGAATCCCAGATCCTCGGAGTGTGAGGCATGCTTTATTAAGCTAGCCAACTTAGTTGGATCATGTCTGCTTATCTAGAGCATGTGAGGTCCTGGGCTCAATCCCCACTACTGAGGGGAACATAAAACAAAAAAACAACTTTCCAATACATCCCGAATGTCAGGCGTGCCAAAAGTGCATGGCTTGATTGGCATTAGGCCCACAGCAAGGACTGTCCTGCTTCAAGTTCTTGGATCTGGAGGAAGTCCTCGGAGACCTGACTTGGACCTGCAGTCTGTTAAAGCAACTGACCTCTGAAGAACTGATGTCTCCTCTGGCTCCTCACTATGCTTGGTGTGAGATTTTTCCAGTGAGAACTGCATTTCAGCTCTTGGTGTGCTCTGTGGAAGTCATCTTCTAGACTGCCCTCAGAGCCAACTGCACTGACAGATGTTCAGGAAAGTCAGAGTCTGCAGAAGACAATGGTATCTGCCCTTCACTGGCCTGGCCCCTGACCTAAGCTCCTCATTCCTCATCATTACACCCATGCATGACCCTTTACCAATAATCACCTACCCCCACCCGAGAATGTCAAGCAAGAAAATGCACCAGTGAAGTGTTTGTTTTTATGACTGTCAATACCATTTATATTAGCAAAACCAGTCACTTCTGGATTTTGTTTTTGAGGATTGTGCCCAGATCTGTGAGTCTATAAATGTTAACTTTCAGGCTGGAGTAGAGATTCTTTGGAAATGGCTCGTGGTTGACATTTATTTTACACTAGACAATTTTCACTGTTTCAGGGCTTTGACTTTTCTGGAAAGAACTACAGACAAGTCCTCATACCCAACTGGAATAGGTGTTTACAAACAAGTCCCCATAGTTGTTTGGACTGGGTGCTCTGTAGAGTGGGCCTAGCAAATTGGTCTTAAAATGGCTTGTCCTGGTGGAGAGGGATTGAAGGGCAGCATGGCAGGGGTGAAGGGTTCAGAGCTGTGGCAGCTCTGCTTAATTGTCCTCTGTCTTGGAGACTAGAGATTGCTGTTAGAAGCCACAAAACACCTGATTCGGGGGTCAGCCTGGCTGCTTGGGAGGGAGCCCAGACTCTGTCGATAGGACAGATGGTTCCCTAGAATTCATGTTTGGAATGCTTCAACTGTGCAGGGCAGCTGGCACCACTGCCACAGGTGCTCAGGCACAGCACTTCCAGTCTGACCCCAAGGAGCAAGCACCACCAGGTGGGGCTGCCCAAGGGCTCACATCTGCTTGGTGGGAAATGGTGCTCAGACCCTTCATTGCAGTGGGGCCTCTCAAGAGGTGTAACATTGTGAGTTCCAACAAGTTCACACTGTTGTGTGGCCATATGCTGCCAGAGCCCACTGGAGAAACCATGTAGGTGGCCCATTGTACAGGCTGCTCCAGCTCTGACCACCCCAGCCTGGCTTTGTCACCAAGATTCTGCCCTTCCTTTCAATCTGGCCACTTTCCTTTTGAACAGTGCATTTGAAAGTCACTGTGGACGTGTGTGAGCCAGAGTTTGTTTGTTTCTGTTACTCAGAACTGGAGTGTCCCCTTTTGTCTGCTCACCAGCTGATAGATACTTAGGCTGTCTCAAATTTGGGGCAACTGTGAAGAAAATCACCAGATATTTATACACAGGTTTTTCTGTGAACATCTCCTTTCTCTCTGTTGTTTATGTACAGACACCAGAGTTCAACCTTGGGTGTCATTCTCAAGGGCCATCCATTTGTTTTTTGAGACAGTCTCTTTGTGGTACCTGAAGTACTTGATTAGGCTAGACTGGCTGATCAGTGAGTTACAGGAATTCACCCGTTTCCCTCCCTAGCACTAGGACTGCAAGCATTCGCTGTGCCTGGCTTTTTTATGTGTGTTGGAGCTCAAACTCAGGACCTTGTGGCAGGCACTTTAAACAACTGAGGTGTCTACCCAGACCCTCTGTTTTTTTTTTTTTTTTTTTTTTTTTTTTTTTTAATTTTTTTTTTTTT